GTCTTTGGGTTGCCTCCCCCTTCTTCCAGGTCTTTGGGTTGCCTCCCTATTTTTATGGTACACTCATCTATGTCCAGTCCCATAGAGTGTCCAGTCCTTGGGTCTTTTTCAACGCGCACCGTGCAGCACGGTAGATTGAGGGACCAAAAAGGTGAACCCGTTGGTGTCCCGTCCCGTCGGGAAACTTCGAACCCGATTTCCACCAGTTTCACCATCCCAAACACTCCCTGTCTGGGACTGCCATAGGACTTCCGATCAGTTGGGGTGGTTGAAGTCGGGGTGAATGTAGGCAAAATTATGCCAGTGAGGCAGGCCTCTTCGGGGGGGGCAGTTCGACTGCCCCAAAGAACCACACGTCTGTTCGGCCCCCGAGTGATATGATGTTATATATAAGTGACCCGAAAAAGACATGTCCTTTTTTGGTGGTGCACAAAAATGGTCGGACTGGACTTCAAGGGTTTTCCTGTGACTTCAACATGCCTCCAATCCAACAGGCTTAGCACTGTATTTGATGGAAACAGCCAAATGGCTTGACTAGGTATATCATCCCTTTCCCAGGGCCCAGTGCATGTCGATGGTTAGGAGGTCGACCGTTCAAAAAAAAGTGATGATCATTGACCTTGCTGGGTTTACTGATCTTACTGAGACACACCCGACCAAATCGCAACATTTCACCAAGTCAACTAGCCTGAACTCAGCACCCCTTAGACCAGAGACGTCCAAAATCCACGACATCTGTGCAGCCAGCCATCTTCATCCAGGCAATCTTCAAATATAATACTCTAGCTCCAGCTCCACCGGCCCTCCCCCAACAACAAAGTCATACAAAGTCTGTTAGGCAAAAGACCCCATTTATGGTATGAAAGTAGAACCAAGCCTTCACTTTGTACCGTGTGAAAGTCGCGTCAGTAGGCCCTAGTGACCTAGTGTGACTGGTCTCACTTCCAGCATCCCGCGAACCTTCACGGCACCTTTCACGAAGGGCCCCCAGTAACCTGAGCTCGTGCTCGCTCGTGAGCTCTCAGCCAACACACCAAACGCCACGCGCGGGCCACGTGACACAGACAAGTTCACAGACCACCAAAGCGTAAAGAAAAACCATTGTCGAAATGCTGCTACATGGGTACTGTGGCAAAGTGACATCTGTTCCTCTTCCAGTTGGTTCCTATGTAGGTCTGGGGGGTCTTCCCATGGCTGTTTATACTTGCATTAATCAAAATAAAGAGGCTCCAGGCCTGTGACTAGAAGATCCATAGCCCACTCAACGTATGGCTCTATAACTCAACCCGAGGTTGATAAAAGTCAAGAAATCTAAAAAGAACACTCCTCGGGGTATCAAAAAAAGCCTTGCAGTCTTGATGTTCTGAGCCACACCCGATACAAATGTGCTTGCATGTGTTTGCTATGTTTGGTTATGTTTGGTTTTCCCATGCTCGTCCGGCAACTCCAACAACATGTCCCTCACGTTCCATGCACAGAGACCTGTGAAGTCGCCACCAGGATTGTAGAGGTTGCACGAGATCTCAGCCGCAAAGGGTTCCCCTCATCCACTGAGTCCAAGTCAATCATGTGCGAAGTGATCTCTTATCTTGGATACCATCTACGATCTTATCTTGGACATAAACAATCCATAAACAAAAGGGATATGGTATTCCAGAGTCAGACATGACTCAAGATGTCTATAGACATCCACCTGTCGGTCCTCTCCACCGAAGCCCGTCACACGGCCCGTGACCAGCCCCTCCGTGCTGCCTTTTGGTTGGGTGAATGGATCCGTTGAGACGAAAAGCATCATGGATGCACCAGATCAAACACCTAATAGCGATGGCCTTCAAGGTACTAGCGATGGCTCCACCCTAATAGCAATGGCCTCCAACCTACTAGAAATGAAAATGGCTTTCGACGACTTTTTGATGGCTTTTGATCAAGCGCAAACACTAGGTCTTGACTTTCGGGATGTTGTTCCGCTTGTGGGCGGTCATTGGTCAACTGGGCAAGTCTTCCACTCGTTCTTCGGGTCCTCATGAGAAGGGCCAGAACTTGTTGACCAGTCGACCAGGGATCACCTGGGAGGTGATTGCATGCCTAGAAAACCCCCCGAGTTCCGCATCTCGGTGCGGTGATGTTCTCAGCAGGCTCAGCAAACATCAGCAAACTCAGCAAACATCACTGCTCACCCGAGCATCACAGCGTTGGACACCTGCATCGAAATCCATCGGTCCTGGCCCCTGTTTTTCTTGCTTGATTTGCTTGTTTTGCCACCATGACCAGTGAAGGTGGGAAGACCACTTTCCTTGACAAACACGGGGGGGTCCACTTCCATGTCGACTCGGAGTGCAGGCACGATGGTCAAAGAGAACCATCCGAATCACTCCCTGATGGTTCGTTAGGTGGCCGTTCCTACGATGCTTATGGGGGGACTTCGCGGCATCCGAAACATCTGTTTGGTATGACCGGAGAACGGCATCCGAACATCGGGCCATCTTCCCACTTAACCCTCATTCTTCTTTCAGGTTTTGTCCGTGTAATCCGAAAGTTCTGGGCATCCAAACGTCACCTCAAAGCTCAGTACATCTCAAGAACCTTAAAGAAACCCTCAAAAACCACCCCTACTTCCAGGCAGCAATCGGCAGCAAGTCCAACAGGTCCCAAACCCTGTCCCTGACCTGTCGGCCAAGGAGCAAAATCTGAGGATTGGTACTGTGCTTGCTGGCTGAACTGGCTATCACCTGAGGCATCCGACGCTCCCCCATGGCCGTACCGCGTCGTATCGCGTCGTACCCCAACGCCGACGCGGCTCTCGTGGCCGTGGCGCCCCGGCCACCACGCCCCGTTCAAGTGGATCCATGGCGGACCGGTGGAGGCATGGAAAAAAACAAGTGGGCACGTTGCAGGGAGGCAGAGTGAATGAAACCTTTGGAATCATTTCATGTGTGACCACTTTTGCAGCTTTTCAGTATTCGTTTGTCCTCTTCAGTTCTCATAGGTTTTTCGAGTCACTGGACGATGGAAGTGGATGAATACATCCGAATTGGACCACTCGCAGGTCCAAAAACAATCCACACAAGTCTTCGTCACCGTTCCTTCACGTGGCTGGCCAACTGGAACAACTGAACCCCTCGATCTGGTAGAGGCATTACTACTAGGAACAAGAAGCTACAGTAATAAGGGCATCGCTATTACTAGTTCATTTTCCCTAAAAACTTAGGAAGCAACTCATTTGCGAGCGCTTCTTCAGGGAAGCTTCCCCCGCCGCCTTGAAGAAGCGTGAGCTACCTGGCTACTACTGGCTACCTCTCCCTTACTCAATTCTCCGTAGGCGCCTACTTAATTAAGTAGGGAGGAGGGGGAACGGGCTAAAAATAAAAGACAACAACTTCACTTGAACTGGTAGAGGCTCCGGCCGTTGACCCGTGTCCTTCAACCGGAGCAAAACGGCAGTTGTTAACCCTCGAACTTGAGGAGCCTGAGGAAGAAGAGGAAGAAGAGGAAGAGGAAAGGCAAGACCCTATGAACCTATGAACAAATGAACATCATTAACAAAAAAACTTCACAGACTCCTTGTAACGACCGAATATCTTCGACAGGAGTCTAAAACAGGGGGAAACTTGCAGGCTTCCAATGGCTTTTCAGCCCTGGAAGCGCTCGCCTCAACTATGCTGGCCCATGGCAAACGGAACCATACGGAAAACTCCCTGAGCCGAGGAAGATGGATACCTCGCTCCATCCTGACCACTTAACCGACTACTCGTTAAGCAAATCTTTGATCCAACATGACGCACAGAGTTAAGTCTTCACCGCAACCGTCAACTCTTCACTGCCGTTCAATGGGCAAAACGACGTGTTTTTGCCAAGCGGCAAAAGGCCAAAGTGGATGATCCAGAATCTAAAACCAGCCTGGAAGACTTGTGGGAAAAAAACTCATGAATCATGACTGAATCGATCGTTCAGAACAGGAACAAACTGAACAAACTCCAATTTCCCGAGTTACAGATCGAAGCCAAGTTCTCCACCAACCGTGCGTGCTTGTCCATGGAGTAGTGGACACCCAGCGTACACCGGGTGTACGGAAAGCGAAGAGCGCCGAAACGTGTACGGAAAGCGATGTCAAAAGGACCTCCCTTGTAATCATCCGTGGAAAACACATGCAGTTGGCCGCAGGCCTATATAAATCCATATAAATCCCTAAAGGTATATGTTCCTCCCGAAACAAATTTCTGTGCACCGAATTCGGGCCCAGTCAGTCGCTCCGGCCGGTCTCTGACTCGGAAAGGCTAAGAGTTCGTGAGACCGACCTTTCCACCTCTCGGCTCGTTCTGGCGAGACCGACCTTTTTCATTCCCTTTTCCATCTGTTCGTTTTTGAGCGGAAAGAATGAACACCTACTTGCAGTGAGGTCCGACGGAAACCTGTTTTTTTCCAACCTCGCACCTTTCCCCACGAACATTCCAAGCCACCTGCACCTGCTCGTCCCAATTCGACGATGTCACCACTCCGTCAATCCCAGAGTCTTCAGCTCCTCCTCCTCTTCCTCCTCCTCCAGCCCAGCATCCCATTGGCCGCGTCAACGCGGCGAACAAGACACCCGCGCCACATCCTACCTGGCACCTCACTGATTCGTCGCGCCGCGTCGCGGCCCGCGTGCCGCGCGGCACGACGCCTCTGCTTCGGCAGCCATCCGCCGCTTCCGGCGGGGGCGACCTCCACGACCAGGCGTGGACCACCAAACCAGCTGCCCACGGAGAGCGGGATCCCCTGGCGAGGAGGAACGAAACAGGAACGAAGATCCGAAAGAAAGATGCAGAGCGAATGTGTAGAAAGTGGAAGTACCAAGGACACGGACATAACCGTACCATAATATATATATATATATACATATCTAACATCTTCGATTGTATATAGGTCAGTTTCATCGTTTAAACATGTAAGTCCAACTATACCAAAAATCAGGCCAAAAAGTTGAGGCTCCAAATGTCTCACAGCTCCAAAATAAACATAGAAAGTGGACTCAAAAGGATCCTCTCAAAACGCCAACTCTGCCGAGCGATGTTTTTACAGAGGGGTCATTCTCCTCGGGAGAAGAAGTGTCTAGGATGCGCGACGGTGTTGGGAAGCTGCACCATTCACAGGGACGTCCAATGTTGTCTCATTCAATGGTATTCTGTTGTTTTCAGCATTCATGTCCACAACTGCAAGGGAAGATGATGCCATGACAAATAAGAGTCATTTGTGCTCATTGCTTTTGCTGTTGGGAGGCAGAGCTGTTGCAAGCTTGGTTGGAAAACAAACCCCTTCGCTCATGTTGATATATATATATATATATTTTTTTTGTTTTTTTTGGGGGGGGGGGGGGGAGGATGTGCACCCACAGCATAGACAACCTGGCTATTCAATGTTGTGTCTCACCCACACACCCTCCAAGGCTTGGACACCGTCAACGGAAAACTCTATCCATGACTGACTGGACCTAAGGTGTTCCAGAATCAATTGGAGGGAAGTGGATTGCGAATGATCTCCCATGTTTGGCTTCCGTGCATCTCTCTTCGCTACCCCAAGAAACCATCAGAAACCCAGACTTCCATGAAATTCCAATATGACTCATTTGTACCCACCTGCTAATGAGTCATAACCCACCACTTCTTACCAAACCTGGCGCCGCTTCCGTCTCCGTCTCGACGGACCACGCAATGGCCTGGCCTGCTCGCTCAGTCTCAGACTCGTCTTGGAAACCGAGGCCTGGCTCCGAGTCAACGGCTGCCGGGCAGCCGGATGGCCGACCAAAAAGGTCTTTCCTGATGTTTTTACGGATCAAGTGGGTCTAATGGATGGGTCGAGTAGATGAATCCCCAAGTGAGGTGGTTGATAACCCCCATCTGAACCTAGGACCTCTGTCGATGGTTGAGCCATCGCAACTCTGAAACCACTGGTCTCAGCCGTTGGTCAAATCGGTCTCATTTCCACTCCCGGCCAAGATTGGTTGGATTTTCCAGATGGTTCAGTCTTGAAAAAATTAATCAAACACATGCCTGCATGCGTAAGATTCGACATGGAAGCGACGTGTCTTTTGGGTTGCACAATACATCAAAGCAGCACAAGGAAACACAACAAAATGTGTGGCTTGCTGGTAAGTTCGACTGCAAAATCACCCAAGGACTCGGACCAGTGGTGGCCACCTCCCCAAAAAGGCAAAACAACTTTGCTCTTTTCAAGGGTCCAGGTATGGCAATGAGGTTTTTCTTTGAATCATGATATGATGAGAGGGCAGTTCTGGGTCCTTTGGTCAACAGGCAGAAGCCTCCAAAGTGCCGATTGACTGCTCTCGCCTCCGGTGCGTTGCTTGCGGCACTCGGAACGCCGCTCGGCGCGCTGCTTGCGGAGGAGGCTGCCTGCGGCGGGGGGGCCAAGTAGTTCACCCAAATAGACATCGATTGTTTTTTCCCCAAACAGTGTGGGCACACTGAGGGGTTCTTACAGTAGGGGAAAGGAAGCTGATGCTTAGATCGCTGAAGCGGGCGTGTGCGGCCAATTCGCTGCTATTTACAGTACATTCATGGTTCTTGACATCGTCCATGTGCACTTCGACTGCGCAGGCTCGCAGAATCTGCCTGCCGGCGGCGGGTGCTTCTGGCGACTGCGCTCTCGTTGTGGTGCCGTGTGCATTTTGGTACATGGTGGTCACTTCTCGTGCCAGGCGCAAGGGAAACCGGCAGGTGCAAGGGATCGGAGGTGTTTTACTTCGAAATGCAGTTTTCGTGGCAGGCGCAGCACTTTGGGCATGGTGGTGATCGTCAAGGAGCTCAGATTTCGTGACAGGTGCAGTGAATTGTGACTTTTGGACACGTGGCTTGTTGCAGATTTGGTGGCAGGAACAGCACTCTGTGACCCTCGATGCGCAGATTTCGTGGCAGGTGCAGCACTTTGTGAACCTCGAAGTGCAGAGTTCGTGACAGGTACAGCACTTAGTGAACCTCGAAGTGCAGATTTCGTGGCAGGCGCAGCACTTGCTGAACCTTGAAGTGCAGATTTCGTAGCTGTAGCAGGTACAGCACTTTGTGAACCTCGAAGTGCAGATTTCGTGGCAGGCGCAGCACTTGGTCGACCTGGAAGTGCAGATTTCGTAGCAGGCACAGCACTTGGTGAACCTCGAAGTGCAGATTTCGTGGCAGGTCCAGCACTTGCTGAACCTCGAAGTGCAGATTTTGTGGCAGGCGCAGCACTTGGTGAACCTCGAAGTGCAGATTTCGTGGCAGGCACAGCGCATGGTGAGCCAAGTGCAGATTTCGTGGCAGGCACAGCACTTGGTCGACCTGGAAGTGCAGATTTCGTAGCAGGCACAGCACTTGGTGAACCTCGAAGTGCTCACACTCACACTCGCACTCACACTCCTCACACTCACACCCACTCACTCTCCCACTCGCAGACTCTCACTCGCTCTCACTCACACTCACACACACTCACACGCACACTCACTCACCCACACTCACTCTCACCCACACTCACTCTCACTCGCACTCACACTCACTCACTCTCGCACTCTCACTCACACTCACCCTCACTCTCACCCACACTCACTCGCGCCCACCTTCACTCTCACTCACACTCACTCACACTCACACTCACTCTCACTCACTCACCCTCACTCACTGTCACTCTCCCACTCTCACTCTCACTCACTCTCCCACTCTCACTCTCACTCACACTCACTCACTCTCACCCACACTCACTAACCCCCACCTTCACTCTCACTCACGCTCACTTACACTCACACTCACTCTCACTCTCACTCTCGCCCACACTCACTCTCACTCACACTCGCACTCACACTCACTCTCCCACTCTCACGCACACTCACACTCCCTCTCATCCACACTCACTCACACCCACCTTCACTTCAGCACCACCATCACCTCTCTGGACCCCAATGCGTCTGGATCTCTAGACTTTCTGCTTACAGACCTCACGCACACTGTTTGGGGTCTCTTGCCGGGATAATCAGGATGAGTTTGGATATGTTTGGATACAAACGCAACACTCTGCAATCAAGGGAGTCTTGGATATCTTAGGAGTTTACACGAACCAATTACAGTATATAATTATAGATAGTTTCCGTTGCGTAAACAAATCCTCAGTTGGCTCAAGGCGACTGGCTCTTCAGAAGATTTTACAATGCACGCTGAAGGTTCTCGTTGATTGGGACAACCTGCACGGTTCGCGTTGATTGGGACGACCTGAACTGTCTGTCTTTCAGCTAAAGAGAGAAGTTATTTCAGCAACTTGTGTAGATCTGCAGCTTGGGATTAATTGACGAAGAATGTCCTGGGTGAGAACTTGTGAGAAGAATGTCCTCCAGGAGTTACAAAGGAGTGGTGTGTAGTCCCATTAACAGTGAGTGGACAAACATATATATAAACCCACACCAGAAACCCACACCCCGACTTCCTCCGTTCGCTCGGCACCCCGTCTTGAGAACTCCCTGGAGTACGATGCATCTCCCCCTCCGACGCACTCGACTCCTCCGTCCTCTCCTCGACTCCGCACCAATTTCGCCCGGACAGTGCCAAGTTGGGGCGCGCCTGCATACCGGCCCCCGTGGTAGCTGCCTGCCAAAACGGAAAGCGGTATCTGATGATCAAGAGGTGTCTGGAGATGATGCCTGTTTCAGCCCCCCTGAGGGCCCTGGAGGGCCCTGGGTGTTTTGATACCTGGAGGGCCCTGGGTGTGCATTTTCGCACGAAACCTTGGCAAAAGAGCACCCTGCAAGTCGCTGAAGTCTTGTTGGCAAGACTGCAAAGCACTTCATGGTTTGCCGGTTTGCCTCCTCCTTCGTTCTGAAGGGGGGTTAGAGATCTGCATCTTGTGCCGAGGGTCTCAGAGTCTTCAGAAACACCTGAGCCTCTTGCTCCCAAAAGCACATAGACACAACTTATAAGTGAAAGAGTCTTGCAACTGGTGCAGTCTATTCTTTTGTAGCGCTAGTCGGTTTTTAAAAATATAAGTAACATTCGGCTGGTTTTGAACGAGATCCTGTTGTTCCTTTTCATGTCACGCCGACTCGGCCCCCGGTCGGGACAAAGTCCATGCCAGGAGTGAAAAGAAACGACGGACGTTGCTTCGATCGAATGCCCCAACGAAGACTCTTGCGATGGCGGTCCCACAAAGCATGGTTTCATCCAATGTTATGACACACATGGGGATCAACATGAATCCAACATCCTGACAAGTACATACAAGTGCCAACTGGTCAAGAGCTGTACTAAAAGGGTTATTTGACAAACTGTACAAAACCCCACAACATGAACACCCTGCAAAATATGGGAGATACATGGAGATACTATCTCAGCTCTTGCATCTTCCATCTTCCTTCACCAAGTAGGTCGACCCTGAGTCGCAAGAAGAAGCCGCCAACAAACCCTGGGTCCCTCCACTAGGCTGTTGACCCTCATCTGACATCTCGAAATCGAGCACTGCTCCTCTCACGGAGGCCCCGGCAGTCCAAGGTCGCTCCATGTGGCAAACGACCGGCCTCCACAGTGGATTCGATCTGCCCCACCATATCGCAGCCCTGCAGCACCAGCAACGGCGCCAGAAGAAGTGGCCAGCCACGCCGCCCAGGGGCCGGCCTCGGGTGGCAGGATCGGCGGCCGCCCCCTTTCTGGTGCTCCGGATGGAATCCGGGGTTGCCAATGTGCAGCTGTTCACGGCCCCAAAAGACATGGTCACCAAATGGCACCCTGCAAAAAAATACAGTAACTAAGGTATCAAGCACGACATGTTGTCGATGTTGTTGCGCTCTAACAAATTGGCATCCCCATTTGGGCTGCACCCGAATCCTGTGGAGAGATCCGAATTCCTTTGGGGGACCGGGGCTTCGACCCTCTTGGTTTTGAGAGATCAAGTGAATCAAGTGACTAATCAAGTGCTCTTGGGAGCGCCTGGCTGAACAGGTCATTCTCAAGGTGCAATCTATCGAAACCGCCCCACCAACGATTCCCGTCAACCTGAAGCCCTTCACTTGGATCTGCAGACAGGCCCTTGGAAAAATCTCCTACTTATATGACCACCGTTCGACTGCAAACTGGCCTTTTCGTTTCCGCGGGTTCGGAGCCACGAACTCATCCGCGCGGAGTCTTCAGATCTCCAGGCGGCACCGGTCGCCCCGACAACGCGGAGGCCGTCGACCGGTGCGGCGGAAGGAAGCGGATCAGTCTAACGTGGTGCGCAGGGAGATCTCTCTCTTCACACCGCATCGTGCACGAAGCGCGCGCGGAGGATGTCGTGCGCCGTGTCGTGCGACCTCCCAAAGTGTCCAATGCCGTGTCGTGCGCCGTGCCGTGTCGCAACGCGAAGGTTTCGGCCACAATTGGGGTGGACCCCCCAGACCCGCCGCCCACCGCCACGCACGCACGCAGGCGGTCGCGCGCTCCCACAGCGCCGGCGCCTGCGCCCCATGGAAGAGCTGCCCACACGGGCACAGCTGGTGGGTGGCACGTCAGAGTCCGCCATGGCGACGGAGCACGTCATCTCTTAAGCCAGAGCTGCAGTCGATGCGCCCACTCCCAGGGTGTACTCCCAGAGTTGCGTCCCACGAACCGTGCAGTTAAGGATATCAGCTATAGGGTGTGGACCCTGAAAAAAAAACGGACCGGCCAAACACACCAACCAATCCTTTCAGGGTAGCCTCACTGAATTCTCCAAGGGCACGAGCATTGGCACGAGCAGTTGGTCAAACGCAAGCAGTTTCAGCTGGTCCTGTTAGAACAACTGCTTTGGGGGCTCAGCCACCTAAACCACTTGCGATACTATGGACTATACCTCATGAGGCCTCTTGGGTAAGTCGGGTGACGAAAGAAGGATGGGGCACGACTCGACTTGTGGCCATGGACACCGAGTCGGCAAAGGCGAAGAACATGGAAAATAGCTGGGTCAAATGCAACTGGGGCAAGAAAGGTCAGATCAGGTCTCCAAATGCTTTTCAGTCACAGAACTATCAG